TGAAAGTGGAATTTTTAACCAGTAATAGTGTTCTCAGCTCACCGTCGAAATATTTGTGTCCAGAAATATCTGCGTTTGAATGTTGAAATGATGACTCGTCAATTTAAGATATTCTGTGATATATAGAAAAGAAATAGTGAGTAAAATCCCTAGTTTGAGTTATTTTTAAAGGAATTATGTGATTTTACTACATTTCTAATATTACAGAAGACTATTTACATATTCAAGATTAAAATCAACCCCCGAAAATGGCACGTCTAAGATTCTTCTTAGCTAGGATAGCCAGGGACACCTCAATTACATGTCCCAGATTTCTTAGTAATGGAGATATAGTTCCTCTGAACCTCAAGAGTGATCTTAGCCTCTAGACTATTGGGTTTGAATCATAAATCACATAAGCGTTGAGATCAAGGATCAAATAATGAAAATACTCCTGAAAAGAAATGTTGAATTAGCTGGTAATATAATAAGACTATATTTTTATTATTTCAGTTAGCTGGTAATATAATAAGACTATATTTTTATTATTTCAGTTAGCTGGTAATATAATAAGACTATATTTTTATTATTTCAGTTAGCTGGTAATATAATAAGACTATATTTTTATTATTTCAGTTAGCTGGTAATATAATAGAACTATATTTTTATAATTTCAGTTGGCTGGTAATGTAATAAAACTATATTTTTATTATTTCAGTTGGCTGGTAATGTAATAAAACTATATTTTTATTATTTCAGTTAGCTGGTAATATAATAGAACTATATTTTTATTATTTCAGTTGGCTGGTAATATAATAGAACTATATTTTTATTATTTCAGTTGGCTGGTAATGTAATAGAACTATATTTTTATTATTTCAGTTGGCTGGTAATGTAGTAGGACTATATTTTTATTATTTCAGTTGGCTGGTAATATAATAGAACTATATTATTATTATTTCAGTTGGCTGGTAATGTAGTAGGACTATATTTTTTACGCCATGCGCCGATAACAGATAATGATATTCTGATAGCCTCAGATTTAATTCCAGCCCAAGACGTTTTGTTTCCCGGTATTTTACAGAAATTACAACAGATGGCACCTACTTTAAATATTACTTCTATCTCACTAGATGTAAGTATATCTATATCAAAACCTGTAAGCCAACTTGTTCGGAGGGGCAAGTAATATATCTGGAGGGGCAAGTAATATATCTGGAGGGGCAAGTAATATATCTGGAGGGACATGTAATATATCTGGAGGGGCAAGTAATATATCTGGAGGGCAAGTAATATATCTGGAGGGGCAAGTAATATATCTGGAGGGACAATTAATATATCTGGAGGGGCAAGTAATATATCTAGAGGGGCAAATAATATATCTGGAGGGGCAAGTAATATATCTAGAGGGGCAAGTAATATATCTGGAGGGGCAAGTAATATATCTGGAGGGGCAATTAATATATATGGAGGGGCAAGTAATATATCTAGAGGGGCAAGTAATATATCTGGAGGGGCAAGTAATATATCCTTACTGTATTAGGTAAATGCTGTCTCATGCACTGAGGTCAAAGATTTTCATGGTACCGGTACTAGATTAAGAGTCAACAAGTTTTTACAAAGTCATATTGAAGGTTATGATTACATGTAAAATATTAAATTATAATTTGTAGAAATGATGAATATTAAAAAGAATTTACAGTGTTTATTATAAGCATAAGATTAGGACTAAAAGCTCTGTTATATTAATATTAATATTAATTTCAGGATGATAAGACACTAGCTAACTATGAATCTCCATTTTGGATGAAACCATTCTTTCCCTACGTGACTGCTGCATTGTGTATGGCCGTAGTTACTCTTGTTACTGTAATGGTAAGTATTCTGCTGAATTAGTTTCCACGGAAACAGGCTCTAGATACTGAAGAACTGGGCTGATATGAGATATCAGTGTAATTGATGTGTACTCTATTCGTATGGTATAGACTCTATACTTGACGATACCTGGCACGTTAGACAAACATGTATATATATGAATAACTCAACATCATCTTGAATTCTTGAATTCTTGAAGTTGTGATAGTAAACCTATAGAAAATAACTAGTAATATTATTCAGTTACTATCTGAAAATATACAGTAGTGAATAACCATTGAAATCACCTGTAAAATTGAATTGAAACTCTGAAGATAAAGTGCCATATTTAATCTATTGGTCCGTATTGTGATACGTTATGTATCATATCATGATACCTACTATATTGTGATACGTTATGTATCGTATCATGATACCTATTATATTGTGATACATTATGTATCGTATCATGATACCTATTATATTGTGATACATTATGTATCGTATCATGATACCTATTATATTGTGATACGTTATGTATCGTATCATGATACCTATTATATTGTGATACTTTATGTATCGTATCATGATACCTACTATATTGTGATACATTATGTATCGTATCATGATACCTATTATATTGTGATACTTTATGTATGGTATCATGATACCTATTATATTGTGATACATTATGTATCGTATCATGATACCTATAATATTGTGATATGTTATGTATCGTATCATGATACCTATAATATTGTGATATGTTATGTATCGTATCATGATACCTATTATATTGTGATACATTATGTATCGTATCATGATACCTATTATATTGTGATACTTTATGTATCGTATCATGATACCTATTATATTGTGATACATTATGTATCGTATCATGATACCTATTATATTGTGATACGTTATGTATCGTATCATGATACCTATAATATTGTGATACGTTATGTATCGTATCATGATACCTATTATATTGTGATACATTATGTATCGTATCATGATACCTATTATATTGTGATACTTTATGTATCATATCATGATACCTATTATATTGTGATACCTTATGTATCGTATCATGATACCTATTATATTGTGATACGTTATGTATCGTATCATGATACCTATTATATTGTGATACTTTATGTATCGTATCATGATACCTATTATATTGTGATACATTATGTATCGTATCATGATCCCTATTATATTGTGATACGTTATGTATCATATCATGATACCTATTATATTGTGATACATTATGTATCGTATCATGATACCTATTATATTGTGATACGTTATGTATCGTATCATGATACCTATTATATTGTGATACTTTATGTATCGTATCATGATACCTACTATATTGTGATACATTATGTATCGTATCATGATACCTATTATATTGTGATACTTTATGTATGGTATCATGATACCTATTATATTGTGATACATTATGTATCGTATCATGATACCTATAATATTGTGATATGTTATGTATCGTATCATGATACCTATAATATTGTGATATGTTATGTATCGTATCATGATACCTATTATATTGTGATACATTATGTATCGTATCATGATACCTATTATATTGTGATACTTTATGTATCGTATCATGATACCTATTATATTGTGATACATTATGTATCGTATCATAATACCTATAATATTGTGATACATTATGTATCATATCATGATACCTATAATATTGTGATACGTTATGTATCGTATCATGATACCTATTATATTGTGATACATTATGTATCGTATCATGATACCTATTATATTGTGATACATTATGTATCGTATCATGATACCTATTATATTGTGATACATTATGTATCGTATCATGATACCTATTATATTGTGATACATTATGTATCGTATCATGATACCTATTATATTGTGATACGTTATGTATCGTATCATGATACCTATTATATTGTGATACATTATGTATCGTATCATGATACCTATTATATTGTGATACATTATGTATCGTATCATGATACCTATTATATTGTGACAGAATTGACTATAAGCTGTATATATAATAATATATAATATTTCTGTAATCTAGGTATATGTATTGTATTGTAACAGAATTGACTATAAGCTGTATATATAATAATATATAATATTTCTGTAATCTAGGTATATGTGTTGTATTGTAACAGAATTGACTATAAGCTGTATATATAATAATATATAATATTTCTATAATCTAGGTATATGTGTTGTATTGTAACAGAATTGACTATAAGCTGTATATATAATAATATATAATATTTCTGTAATCTAGGTATATGTATTGTATTGTAACAGAATTGACTATAAGCTGTATATATAATAATATATAATATTTCTGTAATCTAGGTATATGTATTGTATTGTAACAGAATTGACTATAAGCTGTATATATAATAATATATAATATTTCTGTAATCTAGGTGTATGTGTTGTATTGTAACAGAATTGACTATAAGCTGTATATATAATAATATATAATATTTCTGTAATCTAGGTATATGTATTGTATTGTAACAGAATTGACTATAAGCTGAATATATAATAATATATAATATTTCTGTAATCTAGGTATATGTATTGTATTGTAACAGAATTGACTATAAGCTGTATATATAATAATATATAATATTTCTGTAATCTAGGTATATGTGTTGTATTGTAACAGAATTGACTATAAGCTGTATATATAATAATATATAATATTTCTGTAATCTAGGTATATGTATTGTATTGTAACAGAATTGACTATAAGCTGTATATATAATAATATATAATATTTCTGTAATCTAGGTATATGTGTGTTGTTGTATGAATAAACATAAAAAAGATAAAGAGGAAATCAAACCACATCTTCAGATTTTCTATCCAACCATTAAACCAGATGTCAAGGATCCACTTGGAATCCAACCTGATAGTTCTCCTGTTTATATACCCAAAGGTTCCATTCCACCACTTCCTGCTCAACCAGTTAAAAAACGTCTGCTAGAAAGGTAAGTTGATCTTGCTAAATGTATTTACTTTACCTTGACAGGAGCCATCTTTTTTCATTATATTTTGTGATGAGTATATATCGGGATTCATTTTGGTATATTTTATAGGTGATTTCATGTGGTATATCTATTTATTTCAGGAGAGGTTCTAATGCCTCATTAACAATAGATTTAAACCCCTCCCCGGAAATTACACGCTGGGAGGGGACACCACCTAAAGAAAGGTAAGCTTTGATATCCTGACATCTTCTCAAACAACGAACATCCAGGGCTGGGCGATATTGGTTCAAGTGGATATCACTATAAGGCAATATTACTAATGATATAAATTCCTCCACCAGTATTTATCATGATATAAGTATATCGCCCAGCTCTAGTATATCCTGGAATATACTGTTAATGATGAATTTAAAACAATTCCTAAACAACAAGGCTCTGATATTAATGATAATGGACAACCAAAAAATATTTAAAACCTAAAAATTATCCGGGCTATTTGCATAGACTTAGATACTTGTGATTTTTCATATTTTGACATTTGTTATTTTGTGTATGGAGGACATTCTGAAATATAAGTCAGCAGTATATTTAGGAGTAACATTGACTAACAATGATTTATCAACAGTAGCCTTTTACGATTATTCAAACAAATTCTACACTTCGTTATAATTTTTGATTGAAATTTGTTTATATTTGATCAGTAGTGGAATAGAGTTTTTAATGTCTGCTGGGAACAGATTAAGTCGAAGAGAATTGCGGAATTATACTAAAAATAAACAAGATATATACGAAGAATTCTGGGTGAGTAATTCATCTAAAAATACTTGTTCCTTCACACATTTATCATGGCTCTTAGATTATACCAATTTTAACATTTAAGTCTTTCTGTGAAAATTTCAAATCTTAAAAAAAAAACCTTGAAATAAATGATGACTGTGTATAATGCTATATCATATTCAAGGGAAAGTTTTTCTTTTTTGTTCACATATATAAAAACTCTCTTATATAACACCATATCAGAAAACAGAACGATGTACATGGCCCAGTAGGAATATCAATGTATAGCTATTTGTATTTGTATGAATTATGTTTTTAGGAGATACCAATGAACCATACAGAGAAAGTATCAGTAGCAGGTTCTGGTATGAAAAACAGATATAAATCAATTATACCAAGTAAGTAAGACTAGTGAGTTTATTAAAGAGATTGTAAAGAGATTTTTAAAACTATTTATGTATATCAGGGACACTGATAGCATCGATTTATACCATTCCAATTTCTAATCTGACGTCTGGTTCCTGCAATTTGACTGAATCCTATGATTAAACACTATTGTTTAATAACGTCACTGATTGCGAAGGTCTTATGTGATACAAGCAAATTTTGCAATTAGTGACCATCAAACACTGAGTTTTAGTGGAATTGCAGGAATCACAGACGTCTGATTTTTAGGAGTACTAAGAGTCCACATAGTAATATTTATAATTTGTATTGTAGATGAACATACGAGAGTTGTATTATCAGATTGGGACGGTGACCCACTTTCATCTTATATCAATGCCAATTATATTAGGGTAAGTTACCTGATGGTACTTCTCGTTTGAGGAGTCCACTACTACAGTGCTTCTCAACCTCAATGAGGTCATTCCTACCCGGAAGAGTTTTTCAAAAATCTAGTCTTCCCTAAAATAAATCATTCATTTTGAAACTATTTCCTTCGAAAATGTATTCACTGATTAACCATGAATAAATATAAAACCATACTACACTTGGGCCATATGTATGTTCACGATTTTCTGTATTTTCGGGGTGGATGACATCAATTTCAGTCATAGACCACCTTGCCTGCCATTTCCTCCCTATTTTCACCCTGGCAATAATTCCTCCCCTGGTCTTCCTTGGGAAGAAGCACTCTAGACTCTAGTATTTTACTATTGTTGCTCCCAATTTTGCCATGCTTCTACTCTTCTAGACACCTGATACCACTTTTCATTGTGAAGTACTTACTCACTTAAGATTGATATACCTCCTCATATGAAAAGTTCATTAGCTGCTACCAATGTTTCGCCATTGTGTTGTTTGGATTACGTGTTCAGTTCTGATCATTAGTACTTAGTTTATTTAATAACATGTGGAAAGTTCATTAGCTGCTAGCAATGTTTCGCGAGGTTAATACTTGGTTTATTTATCAGTACTAATAATATTATATTTTCTATTGTATCTAGGGTTATGAAGGAGAGAGAGGAGCCTATATAGCTACACAAGGTCCCATGCCTCACACTATTGTAGATTTCTGGAAGATGGTCTGGTCAGAGAGATCACCAATGATTGTTATGATCACAAAATTACGAGAAAAATCAAAGGTAAACAAAAAAAAAGAAAATATTTCAGAAATATACGAATTTGGTATATTATTGAAAGCTGACACCAGGCTGACTCTTGGAATCACTGGCACAGGCATCAGAGTTTTTCTTATTTCTCACCTTGAAGAGGATTCGAACCCACAGCACATAGCAGACAACAATCCAACTTGCTATCGTCTGAGCTATTCCACTGCAGTGTGATCCATCCAACGTTAAATGGAAGTATTGACATTTTCACAGTTCGATACTTATAACCAGTATTTTTATTTACAACCAAACGCAACTGGTGATGGCTATGATGTGAAGGGTCCTTTTGTCCTAAAATTTGCACCAAAAAGCAGGTGATATAATATATGATTTTCTTTCAGTCAAAATGTGAAAACTACTTACCCGATACGTTCGCTGTTTACGGAGATATTGAGGTCACAGTTGATAGATGTATATATAAAAATGGCTACGAACTACGCCACCTTACTTTACGTGTAAGTTCTTTTTCTGCATCAATCAAAATTAACCTAATTTTATATCTATTCATGGTTAATCGTTAAATACATATATTCGAGTGAAATACGTTTCAAAATGACTGATTGAATTCTTGAATATATGTAACAGGCAAATGGTGAACATCATACTATGTTACATTATTGGTATACGACCTGGCCAGATCAACGACCATCAGAATCTACCAAAATATTACTAGAATTAATCAAAGAGGTGGAACTTCGCCGTTATAAACCAGATTCTTATTTACCTAAAGGTCCAGTTATAGTTCACTGCAGGTACGATATCATTTACATATTATTATTCAAATGATACTGTTTATTATTCATAAACTGATTATTATTCTATTCAAACTGATTATTATTCAAATCATACTAATTATTATTCACGAACTGATTATTATTCATAAAATGATTATTATTCATAAACTGATTATCATTCATAAACTGATTATTATTCATAAACTGATTATTATTCAAATGATACTGATTATTATTCATAACTTACTGATTATTATTCATAACTTACTGATTATTATTCATAACTTACTGATTATCATTCAAATGATACTGATCATTATTCAAATGATACTGATTAATATTCAAATGATACTGATTATTATCAAATGATACTGAGTATTATTCAAATGATACTGAGTATTATTCAAATGATACTGATTATTATTCATAAACTGATTATTATTCAATTCATACTATTGACTGTGATATTTGTGTATTTTCAGTGCTGGTATTGGTAGAACTGGGTGTTTTATAGCTATAAGTATTGGTATAAGACAGCTAAGGGAAGAACAGTCAGTAGATATATTAGGTATTGTTTGTAGTATGAGATTAGACAGGTAAGTGACACTAGAATTACTTTATCCATTTTGCACTTAAAGAGGCATTCTGCTTTTTTCATTTGGTATTTGTGGTTTGGAGTGTGAAATATATCACACTGCATGCCAACATATAGAGGAAGATGACCCTTAACCTTTCGTGAAAACTTTAACTTGAAATATCCAAGCGTTAAATCAAAAAAGCTGCAAAAGTCTTAACCAGTTACGTAAGTATTTTGAATTCTCCTGGCTCCATTTTTACTCTACTAGCCGATATTTGATTATAAGAAATGTATTCTGATAGGATCACCAATTGTTAATAACCAATCAGCAGCGATTTCACAAACATACCTCTGTAGTTAGAAACACTCTGTTCATGCAAAAATCATGTCATGTATTTTTTAACTCAGCAATTCTAAAATTTGATGTTTAAAAATGATTTCTCTATCACCAGGTCAACATATAGAAACTATACAAAGTACATACAATATGATAAAAAATTCCCGTTTCTGAGACTAAAGTATGATTGGTAAAAAAGAATGGGGCATCAGTCCCTTGTGCAACTTTTTAACAAATTCTCTAATTTTTCTTTTACTTGTCATTTCAGAGGTGGTATGATTCAAACCCATGAACAGTATGAATATATACACCAAGCTTTATGTTTATATGAACAGGAGTTATCTGACCTGTCTGAAAATACCACAACTAGCGACTAGAGGGAGCTTTCGGTACCAATAATTATATATATATATATATATAGGGCATAGTCACATTCCTTCAGTTATCTTACTACCATCTACTACTACCTAGTCTACAAACATTAACAATCCTACTACCAACAACTACCAATCAGCTTCTAATAAAATGGGACGTTATCTTGTGATCTACCAACAACTACCTAGTCTGAAAGCAGACGTTAACTTGTCATCTACCAACAACTACCTAGTCTAAAAGCAGACATTAACTTGTCATCTACCAACAACTACCTAGTCTATGATATCATAGCCCATGATATTAGCTTCTGTTGGATGCTGATGTTAAATTGTCATCTACCAATAACTACTTAGCCTAGTCTATTTATCATCAATTCCTACAACTAATGTCATTAGTCCTCAAACAACATTAGTACCTGAATTTTAAAGCATTGTATATAACCTTTCACCTTTCACCTTTCAACTTTAAACCTTAATCTTTAACCTTCGCTGAAACAAGAGGTAACTTGAGTCGTGTGAGAATTATTACATTTCACTGAACAGCTTGCAATCAGTATTCACCATGACTTAAACTTGACTTTTGGTGAAAAGATATTTGTGAATTGTGTATTCCGTACTAACAGACACTTCTATAGCTACTATTTATAGTATGATCATTACCTTAAAGGGGTCGAACTTATGGCACCGAAGTTCCTTGCAGATACAATTTGCTGCTGACTTAACCATCCACTGCCCTTTCACTAAGAATTTACAAATTTCAAAGTTTCACAGTATTTAGTGTTACTTAATGTATATATCATTAAAGCCAGTTTCTTGAAAACTTTATTTTATATTTTATCATTTCAACCAATCACCTTTTTAGAAAAAATAATCTGTATTGAGGTTAAAAATTCTCATCTTGATGACATGTTTTAATCTTGAGAAACAAAAAAATAAAGTTTTTGTGAAAAATTCCTTTAAAAACCGACTTTAAAAAACGCCGTAATCTGATTGGATAATAGAAAATGTATTTGAAATCAATTTTAGTGATTGACCAATCAGATGATTGCTACACTGAAATCACCTTTTTTTTAGTTTTCGAGAATAAGCTCCCTGATTGGCCAATGACTAAAATTGATTTTGTTATCCAATCATATTGGTGTATTTTGTAAAATTTGAATTTTATGTCAGGAAAGATTTTGAGAAAAAGTTCCCGGATTCTGGAAGTAATTGTGGTACATTTTGATATTTATATACACCCTTCTTAACAATTTCTTCAGTTTCTAGATTTTGATGTATTTTGTTAACATTCCTTTGTTTATTTTGAATATAACATCTAACAGATCATTTTTACCAGCGGGTACTCTTTCTGATGTAGAATTAAAAGTAGGACGTAAAACTCCATTCATTTCATTTTCTGATGTAGAATTCACCTGGAAAGTTTCATTGAAAAAGTTGGTCAAAACAGAAGTTATTCGACTAAAAATATTGTGAAGAGTAAACTAGTTGCTTAATTATATTCTGAAATAATATTATTTTACTGTTCATATTTAAAAGGGATTGATTTGGGTCTTTATTGTGCTTTAATAGTCTTAAGAAGTACTAAAACACATGAAAATCACATAATCCCTTCAAATATACCTCAAGCTAGAAATTTCACTCTCTATACCAGACTTCAGATACCAGCATACCATACAGGATAGGTCACAATAACTCATATTTTAAGACTATATGTTTATGACTGTTATAAACGATTGTCTACTGTGGTCAATGAAGTTATAATGATTTAGATATGAAATGTTGTTATGTTTGTTGTATTATATCTTTGTTTGGGTTCATGTAAAATCCCAACTCACCAAAAATAAGTATGTGATATATGGAACAAAAATGACCATCGCTTATATAAATTTTATACAAAACAAAATGTAGCTATTGAAGATAAGTATTGATGGTATGCCATATCACTATACATCGATTCACCAATATATCGTGCCATCGCTAGTAAACTGTATTGACGTCACTGAATATCTTTTAAATTCAATGGTTTTGATCTGTTCTATCAAATTTAGTAATGTATAATATTAGTAATGTGTTTTTTCGCACCATATTTACTTGGCCTGTTTGGTCAGTTGGGATTTGAAACCTACCCTCTTTGATTATTTTAAGTTTGTCAAGTTTTATTGTTGTTTATTGTTGTTTATTGTTGTTTATTGTTGTTTATTGTTGTTTATTATTGTATTTATTATCTCAGATTTTATTGTAAATAATAATAATACTCTAGTCATTTTAAAATTTAAGTTTTAACTTTTTTTTTGAAGGTAAGTTTGAAATTGTAATGCCAGCAATTGTCAGAATATACTATTTATTTTCTATGGAATCACTATAATACTGTTGTTAATTGTTGTATTGTTACTGTCATCTTCACAATGTCAAGGTATTACAAACTTCATCTTATACCTTGACTGCAATATTCATCTTTCTTGTATCACAGAATGCACCGATTTGATTGGATTGTACGCCAGCAAATACAGCCAATCAAAGCTCTAGACAGAAAGGCTGTAAACATCATGGCTTATTGCTGACCGAATTGCTGTCAAGGCCTCTTATTGACTGTATTTTCTATCTTACAATCCAATCAAATGGCTGCATTTTGTGGCTATTCTAGTCAAAATATCCATCCAAAC